ATAAATACATATAGCATTTGGGATGCATATGGGACTAGATAGAACTAGATGGGACTCAAAGAACTCAGAGGAAAAATCATTTAAACCTCAAATTCCCACCTGTGTTACTCAGAACTATATTAGGGTTATTTCATCATTACACATAAACAGTAGCATTTTTAGTCAAATTAAGCTTTCTTTGCAATGTGACTGGTGAGATTAAATGATCTGTACCTTTTTGCCTGAGCAACCTGTTTTCTCCAACAAGATGAAAATTGTACTATAATTCAAATATAGTACCTGTTAGATATAAAGTGAATTATGTGAATAGAGTTGTAATTTATAAAAGTGCTTATACTAAGATTTGGTTATGACGAGCTATTGATTTGCTAAAACTTGGAGAAACTACAATGAATTGTTTATTGCATTAACTTTTACTTCATTAGTCTCTGAACTCTTCCATTAAGAATAATCATTTGGCCAGCTGCTGGCAGCTCACCACATCTGTAATCTTAGCTACACAGGAGGCTAAGATTTGAGGATCACAGTTCAAAGCCTACCTGAGTAGAAAAGTCTGTGAGACTTCTACCTCAGGTTAACTAGCAAAAAGCCAGAAATGGAGCTCAAATGGTAGAAAAAGCTAAGGACAGTGCACTTAGTTCAACCCCCAGTATGAGCACATACCAAAGAAAGAATCATTTTCTTCAAGTTTTTATAAAACTCTTTGAAAATGTTTTTGAAATTAGTAGAAAATAAGGTGACAAATAATTATACTTTTATATTTTTGATTTTTCAACTTTTGGTTATAATATATCCAAACATACAAAAACCTTACAAAATGAATACCCATATACTTGCCAATGATAGTCAACTTCTAATTGTAACTCTTTCATGCCTGGTTTTAGAATCTGGATTGGAGTTGGTTAAGAGAATGACTTGATATTTATTCGTTGTCCTCAAACCTATGGAAGTTGTTGCTCCACATGTTGGAAATTTGCTTTTCCACCATGAAACTATTCTTCACACACCAGTCAATGGAAGAAAGGCTGTGAGCAAAAACTACACATGATTTTACAGCACAATATTTGGATTTTGAAAATCTTAACCTCTAAACAGATAGGATGTTAAGAAAAGTCAGTGGAGTAAAGTATTCGTTTTAATGCTAAGGATACTTAGGAGCATCATCATGACCTGTTTTTCTTCAAACTTCATAAAATACTATACATAACTGACAGAAAAATGCCTTCTGAAGTTTTCACTTTTAAGCAATATGGCTATAGTATTGTATACAAAGACAAAAACCTCACTGATGTACATTTTAAGTACCTGTGTTTCTGTGGAAGAGATTGCTCACTAGTAAAATTGTATTTCTTAAAGAATAAACCCTACCTCCTTGTGGTACATTCAGCAAGTGCTCTTCCTGGCATCACAAGGAGTTGGCTTAATTCTATTTTCAATTTTACTGCACATTTGACTGTATAATAAATCATGTTGTGTGCTATGTGTATATGTATTTAAGATGTACATTTAATAATATCAAAGAGATGATGCTTGTTAATTTATAATGTATTTGAAAGGTAATGTGTGTTTTTTTTTTCATTTGTAATAATGGGTCTGTTTAATCTTTTGTGTCTTGTCATACAAGTTTGTAAAGGTCTTCATTCCCTTATCTGTAATTGTAATTTCAAAATCCAAGAAGTTCTGGCCACAAGGTTATAAGCTGAATGTCAGAATTCATTTGCTTCCAAATCAAAGCTGAACTGATATTTACTGTACTTATCCCATTTAGTGTGACTTCATTTGTTTTCTTGTAGAAATATTAACATGTGTGATTACTGAGCTGGAGGTGCTGCCACAAAATCTTTTGGGGGCTAATGTATTATGGTAATGCACTAAATTAATTACTTTTCTAAAATCTGAAAATTTTATAATTCTGAAACATCTGGCCCCAAGGGTTTCATATAAAGATTGTGGATCACTATTTTCTCTTAACTAATTTAGAAGGGTTTGTTTTAAAAATGTGAAATGCTTTTATATTCTAGTTTTTTCACTTTGTATATTAAATGATTTTTTTAATGACATTTTGAATTTCTACTCATTATAAAAGCCAGCTTGTAATGCAATTTAATATGGTTTGGAGAAATGTGAAGGGCTATGAAGTAGAATTGGAACACAGTAACATACCAGGCTCCTCTTGTATTTTCATTAATAGTTAAATAGGACTTATGGAAAAGTAAGTAGTGTGCAACTTCTTTACAATAATGTTTTCTTTTGAGATGTCCTTTCACCACTATCTGTGTCTAAAAACCATAGGTTCATGTCTTGCCCTATAAACTGATAAAATAGCCCTACTATTCCAATTTTTGCTACTGGGATCATCTCTCTTGCTTAATCATCACGTGTCAGTGTTTCTCTAACAATGGTAAGCCCATTCTTCCTGGGCAGTCTCTTGCTTCCCTGATTCTAAAAAGTTTTAATCACATTTATTGGGTAGTATTACTCAAAAGATATTAACATAGGCAGAACAATAAAAGTGCTTGGGGGGGGGGTGGACAGGCATGATAGTTTACACCTGTAGTCTCAGCACATGGCAGATGGGGGCAAAATGATCTGGAATTTGAGGCCAGCCTGGACTGCATAGCAAGTTCCAGTTTTAGTCTGAGCCACCTGACTTAAAGAAAACAAAAGATGCTTCCTGGGAGTCTAAACATTGTAAAACATTCAAACACATTATTTTTTTAGCCATCATGCATTTTCTAAGTAATAAAATAATTGGTGATAGATTTGCTATATATGAGGTTTATGTTGGTAGGGGTGATGTCAGAGCAGCCTGACCTCATAGCTTGGACAAGTGAGTACTTGCTGTGTGCCAGAATGCTGATTCAGAAAGGCTCTATGAAGAGTATCCTGAGAATGGCATCAGCATGGAGTCAGGGAAGGGGTGTAAGGAAGGTAGAAGGTACACTACACACTGACTGATGCTCCTAGTTGGAGGGAAAGGAGAGGTGTGGTAGGCTAGAACCAAATTTAGAAAGTATAGAATGCAATTTTTTTTTTGTTCCAGTTCTGGTGCTTGAACTCAGGGCCTGGGCACTGCCCCTGAACTTCTGCTAAAGGCTAGTACACTACCATTTTAAGCCACAGCTTCATTTCCAGCTTTTTTTTTTTTTTGTACTTAACTGGAGATAAAAGTCTCATGGACTTTCCTGCCCCAGCTGACTTTGAATCATGATCCTCAAACCTCAGCCTCTTGAGTAGCCAGGATGCTTGGCTTTGGAATGCCTTTTTCTGCCAATCGTGGAACCAGATGTCTAGAAGACAAAAATTTTTTTTTCTGTTCTTTTAAAATTATGTACACGGGCTGGGAAGGTGGCTCAGTGGTAGAGCGCTTGCCTTGCAAGCCTGAGGCTCTGGGTTCGATTCCTCAGCACCATATAAGCAAAAAGAAAAAAGCCGGAAGTGGTGCTGTGGCTCAAGTGGTAGAGCGCTAGCCTTGAGCTGAAGAGCTGAGGGACAGCGCCCAGACCCAGAATTCAGGCCCCACAACCGGACCCAAATAAATAAAATAAAATTATGTACTATGTATATACATTGCCGATAATAAAAAGAGAAAAGGAAAGGATAGCAATTGAAGTAAGAGGGATACATATAAGGGAAATGAAGGCAACTGAGTAAATTTGGCAGAAATGGTGTAAGCTTCAAAATATATTAGTAATGAGGTTGCAAATGGACACGGTTGACTAAGATTGGAAGATTCTCTGATCTCTTGAGCTGGAAAATAATAGAAAAGTAGTGCTTTAGGACCAGTGAGTTTGCAACTGGCAAAAAGTAGGATCAGACCAGAGGCTGGGAAGCCAAGTGATTAGGAAATTGCAGGCCCAAGGTTACCTTGGCAACAGCAGTGGCAATGAGAAGAGATAAGTATGGCCATTTCAGGTCTTCATTAAAAGTGTTCCAGACCAATCTAGACACTCACTTACCTGTTTCATTCATTTGTTTTTAATTACCTAGAAGTGGGACCTGTCTGCTCCAGATAAATGACACTGTAAAGTTTAGCTATTTAAACTCAGAAAAAGCAACCAGGCGCCAGTGGCTCACATCTGTGATCCTAGCTCCTCGAGAGGCTGAGATCTGAGGATCACTGCTCGAAGCCAGCTTGGGCAGAAATAAACTTCAAGAAAAAGCCAGGAGTAGCACTGTGTCTCAAATGGTGTAGTGCTAGCCGTGAGCAAAAGCAGCTCAAGGACAGCACCCCAGCCCTGAGTTCAAGCCTTCAGACACGCAAAAAGAAACCCAAAAACCAACTCCCAAAAACACTCAGCCATGTTAGTGGATACTTTTATCCCCTGTATTCAACAGGCTGAAGCAAAAGGATGGTTGGTGAGTTTGAGGCCAACTTAATCTAAGAGAAAAAATTTTAAAAAGGTAAGAATGAAGTCATTTGCTCCAGTCTACATTTTCTGGATACATTCTCCTAGTTTCATAATATTGGTGAGATTGGAGAATGAGTTGTATACTGTTATACTTCAACTCTGAAAAGTAATTACAGAACAAAAAAAAGGGGGGCTACTCAAGTTTCTGGCAATTTCATTAGGTGTTCAAACAAAACAAAATTTGAATGGTAGTTAGAGATCGAATAGCTTTCTTTCATAACTTCCCAGCAACATTGCTTTTAACGAAGTCTGGCTGCTACCCAGGTGCAGGATCTGCCCCCCTAGTAAGGTTCCCCATAAACCCTGAAAGGCTAAAAGACAGGAGCAGGTTCTCTGTATGAGAAAGAACTGACCAGTCCTTTGTCTACGCAGCTCTTTATGTCCCTGTTTATTCCAGACTACTAATTTCTGGAGCAGCTCATCAACAACGCACAAAGAAATGAATAACCCTCGAAGATTTGCATGTCCCAGAGAACTGGGGAATTTTGTCCTGCCCGCTTCCCGTCTCGCAGGTCGCAGGGAAGTGGGGAGTGCGTCACCCTGCGTCCTCGCGCAGCCGCAGTGCCGACCGAGTGGGCGGGGCCGGCGGGTGGCGGCGGTTGGCGCGACTCGGGAAGCGGCTGCACGTGCGGGCGGGGGCGATGCGTCACTGACCGGTGAGGCGCGGCGGCGGGGTCGGCCCCATCCGGGAGCCCGAGGCTGAACCTCTTCCCAGAACCCGATTCTGGGTCCCCTTCTCGGTGCCGCTAGGGGAGCGGCACTGAGGCGGGGAAGAGTGGGTGTCACGACGCTCGGCACGCCGGGGCGGGCCGCCTGGGTGAGGGGCTCGGCGAGGGGCGTCCGGCCCCGCGCCGCGGGAAGATGAGGGGCGAGAGGCCCGGGAGCCCCCCGGCGCGGCGGGGCGCCGGAGGGAGCGGGTGCTGCCGGCGGGGGCGGGCCCGTCCCTCCCCGGACTGAGAGTCTTCTCCGCCCTCACCCAGGAGGAACGAGGATGAATATGACTCAAGCCCGAGTTGTGGTGGCTGCCGTGGTGGGGCTGGTGGTTGTCCTCCTCTATGCCTCCATCCACAAGATCGAGGAAGGACACCTGGCCGTGTACTACAGGTGAGCCCCCGTGCGCAGGCTCACCCCGCGCCGGTCCTCGTGGGGTCTGGAAAGTTCTTCCCTTGCAGCGGAGTCCCGTCTAGATGTGGGGCGCTCGTTAGAGACGGAAGCAGTCACTCTGGGGGGCTGAAGGGGTCGCTGAGCCACTCACCACTGATGCTCTTTAGGAAATTTGGTCCTTTCTATGCGTTTTCCTCAGAGGGTTGTTTTTTTTTTTTTGTGGTTGTTATTGTTTGCATTAAACACTATCCGCTTATGTTTTACAAAGGCTTGATGACCGTAACAGTTGTTGCATCCTTAGCCCTCAAGGGATGGGACAAAAGCACCACATTGCTGGGAGGACCGGTCCACTCCCTCTGCACTGACTCCTTTTAAGTGGAGGCGAGGAAGAGTGGGGTTATGTGTCTAGTTGGGTCGGCTTAGCTTTTCTTCAGCATAACACCAGTTTCATTTGATATACATTGGTAAGAAAAGCCAATTTGTGGAGAAATCGGGAAAGTAGTTTTTTCAAAAAGAGCTTCAGCTTTTTGATGTTCATCACTCCCTGCATTAGTATTTGTATTTTGAATCTATCCTGAATCCTGGAGGAAAATAAAAACAACAATTTTTTGTGGTTAGTCTGTTAAAACAGATAGAGTTATACCATATAAAATAACATCTTAGTCCAGATTTCCACCCAGTTCCTCATTGTTTTTCTGACAGTAAAACCAAGGGAAGAATATTTGAAGATAAGACTCTAAACCAGTCCATCTTTTCTTAATTAGGATTACCTGTCCAAACCTATTTGTATTTTCAGGACAGAAAATATTCTTTGAGTTTGTTATACACTTTACAAAATAGAATTTCTTTGTTATATTTGCTTCCCAAATGCCTCCTTGTTATAATTTGCAAGATGTGTTTTCATATTCTTATATCTCTAAATTTGATGAACAAATAGCTCTATACTCTTGAGTCTTCTTTCTCTTTATCTTTCCATGCTATTTTCTTGTTTTTTGTTTTTTTTTAAAAACCTGGAAAGTTTTTTCCTAGTATTTTAATTGCTTTGTGGCTAGATTAAAAATATCATTAGTCTCAGAAACTTTTTCCCTAGCTTAAAAGGTTATATCTTTTTTCAACCTGATAACTAAAGGTATTATGTTCTGAATTGCCTTTTGATGTGTACAATAAAGTATCTCATCTGAGAACCATTAGGAAAAAAAATTAACAAATATTTCTCAGAAGGTTAAAGACCAAAGAGTCCTTTGAGCCTCAGAGCAATTCTCGAGACTCAGGTATAGTTCGTGGAGCTTATGAAACAAGGTGTAACAACAGCAGTCCAATTTGATGTTTTCACTTTTTTAGTTGTGATAGGTATTTTAATCAACAGTTGTTCATCATGAGTATCTGAGTGAGGCTTTAATAGCTTAGTAGCATAAGTAAAAGTGTTTATTAAAGCATTTTAGATTTGGAAAGACCTCTCTTTATAATTTTGTCAAATTGAAACATCTTTTTACAGGGGAGGAGCTTTACTAACTAGCCCCAGTGGACCAGGCTATCATATCATGTTGCCTTTCATTACTACGTTCAGATCTGTGCAGGTGAGTGATACTTAGGGATTCCAGATAGACAGGTATGACAGGAGCTACCACACTTAGGGGTGGAGATGAATGTCCTTATTGTTTAAGCAGTTGTTGGTATTTTCTTAAATTCAGGAGTTTATAATTAGAATAGAATTGTTGCACAAGTTAACAATTTTGAACCATCTTGCTTCTTGAAGTCAATTAAAAGTAGACAGCTTGGGAAAACTGACTTTTACCCTCTGTATAATAATATCAGCAGTTTTTCTGTTGCTGCTGTCAAAATAAAATCAAGAATTAGGAACGCAACTAAAAATACAAACCAGTGATTACTTAGTTTAGAACCATGTTTGGTTTCCATAGAGGCAGGCTCCTCCTGGACTACTGTTAACACTGAGGATCTGGATTTTTATACACAGCTTTCATACTCACATATTTTTGCCTTCCCATTTAGCACAATTTTATGTAGAACCTTAGTAAATGTACTATTTTGACAGCATTCCAGAATATTTGAAATAATTGTCTGGTTATTGAAAAGAATGTCTTAGCCATGGGTAATAGTTGATAAATACCTTTTGACATAAGATGATAAAACAGGATTAGGCTGTGGATACTTTTGCAAACTCAGTGTGATCCTAAATTTTTGTATTCGGAAGTTTAACTGTCTGCGGATAATTTTTCAGGAAACTCAATGCTGGGGAGCTGGGAAGGTGGCTCAGTGGTAGAGCGCTTGCCTTGCATGCATGAGGCCCTGGGTTCGATTCCCCAGCACCACATAAGCAAAAAGAAAAAAAGCCAGAATAGCCTTGAGCTGAAGAGCTGAGGGACAGCACCCAGGCCCAGGGTTCGGGCCCCACAACCCGACCCCCCCAAAAAAAAAAAGAAAAAGAAAACTCAAAGCTGGGCGTCAGTGGCTCACACCTGTAATCCTAGCTACTCTGGAGGCTGAGATCTGAGGATCTCAGGCAGGAAACTGAATGAGACTCTTATCTCCAATAAACCACTCAGAAAACCAGAAGTGGAGCTGTGGCTCAAAGGGTAGAGTGCTTGCCTAAAAAAAAAAAAAAACAACAACAACAAAAACTCAGAGTTACTCAATTTTGTAATTTTAATTTTAAATCTTGGCTTCCTACTAAATAGGTGCTTAATTGTAAATAGCTACCTCACCCAGATTTCTTTCCAGTTCTCTTTGAAATTGCTTAGGAACAGCATTGTATCTTATTGAAGTGAAACTTAGTTATTAGTCAGGCTGTAGTCATGCTGCCATACTGTTTTCCTATGTTAATTTTATTCATTCTTGCTTTGGTTAATGCTGTCACCTCTTTTTTTTTTCTCCTCATACTGGGGCTTGAACTTAGTTTATGTGGTACTGAGGAATTAAACCCAGGGTTTCATGTATGCACTAAACCACATTACCAGCCCTGCTGTCAAATCTTCCCTTATCATCTCTCCTTTGTATTCCTTTTCTGCTGTGTAATTCTTGCCAACCTTTTGTTAGCTTGACCCAGATTCCTTCTCTGATCTATAGCTCTTAAAGTCTTATAAATTTTGATACTTGATCTTATTTCCTTTAATATTGTTGTCTAGTTTTGTACGTTGTTTTGTGAGTTCTTTCCAGAAAAATCTCTGTAAGCTTCTTCAGGGCAGAAGTTATACACATTTATATTTCTGATCTCTATTTATACTAGAAGTTGTTAAATTAACCTGATTTCTCAGGAAACAATGTAGTATGGGAATTTGGAGAGTTGCTTTGCCACAAATTGGATGTAAATCTTTAATATTACTTAATTGTTGTAGACTTTAGTTAACCATCTGTAAAAGAAGTTTTAATTACATGGCTTCACCAACAGCTTAAACAGTCACTAGTAGAAGTAGAAATGGTGATATAAGACCTTTAGAGATGAAGGGCTTTTTTAGATTTTTGTTTAAAGCCAGAAACATAATGCTTAATTTCTCTGGCATTAGCCAGCAGTGTCCTGAAGCTTATCCTGGCTTATTTTTGAGCGAAGATACTACTAATTTTTGCTCCAGGTATCCTCAAATTGTGATTCTCTTGTCTGCTTTTTAGTAGCTGACATTACAGGTATGTAACACCACACCTGGTTGTGTTTATTCCTCCTTTAAGGAAGTATTTTAAGTTACACTGTTGCAGAGAGAGAGAGAAAGAAAGGGGTAGATGAAAGAAGGAGAAGAGGGAAAGAATGCAGTCAAGAATTCATTGTGAGCTGGGTGCCAGTGGCTTACACCTGTAATCATATCTACTCAGGAGGCTGAGATCTGAGGATTGCAGTTCAAAGCCAGCATAGGCAGGAAAGTCTGTGAGACTCTTATCTCCAACTAACCACCAGAAAAAAAAAAAGTGGTTCTGTGGCTCAAGTGGTAGAATACTTGCCTTGAGCAAAAGAGCTGAGGGACAGCACCCAGGCCCAGAGTTCAAGCCCCACAACTGACAAAAAAAAAATTCGTTGCGTAAAGTATAAAATTAAAAGTAAGAGAAGAATTGGAATGGGGAGGAATAGGTGAGATGTTGAAAGGGGTGACATTGATCAAGATACATTGTATTTTTAAGAAAGGATATATTAATAAGCTGTTTTGTTAATGTAACTCCTTTGTACAACTACTTATTAAAAATATATCCGGGGCTGGGAAGGTGGCTCAGTGGTAGAGCGCTTGCCTTACATGCATGAGGCCCTGGGTTCGATTCCCCAGCACCACATAAGCAAAAGAAAAAAGAAAAAAAGCCGGAAGTGGCGCTGTGGCTCAAGTGGTAGATCGCTAGCCTTGAGCTGAAGAGCTGAGGGACAACGCCCAGGCCCAGAGTTTAGGCCCACGACTGGACCCAAAAACAAACAAACAAACAAAATATATATATCGAGCCACTACTAAAAATCCCCATGCTGCTGATCACATGTATGGTGTATAGTATACACGGTTATATGTTATAGACTGTGATAGACAATTTGCTCCAGGAAAGTTAGAATGAACTTGTGACTTCAAATGAGCATCATTATTCCACAATACTGTGAAATATGGGAAATTATGTAATCACTTAACCACAATTTAAAAAAAAAAAAAGAACCTCGGGGAAGGTAGGGAGGGAAGGGATGGTAGGGGGAAAACAATGGAGGGGGTAACAATGCTCAATAAGAAGTTTACTCATGGGCTGGGAAGGTGGCTCAGTGGTAGAGTGCTTGCCTTGCATGCCTGAGGCCCTGGGTTCGATTCCTCAGCACCACATAAGCAAAAAAAAAGAAAAAAGCCACAAGTGGCGCTGTGGCTCAAGTGGTAGAGTGCTAGCTTTGAGCTGAAGAGCTGAGGGACAGCGTTCAGGCCCCACGACTGGACCCAAAAAAAAAAAAAAAAAGTTTACTCATTACCTTGCTCATGTAACTGTAACCCTCTGTATAATATCTTTACAATAAAAAATTTAAAAAATATATTGCAAAAATAACATTAAACATAGCTTAGTTATATACATAACAAATATATTGTGATTTTTCTTTTTTTGGGGTCCGGTCGTGGGGCCTGAACTCTGGGCCTGGGCGCTGTCCCTCAGCTCTTCAGCTCAAGGCTAGTGCTCTACCACTTGAGCCACAGCACCACTTTCTAGCTTTTTTCTTTTTGCTTATGTGGTGCTGAGGAATCGAACCCAGGGCCTCAGGCATGCAAGGCAAGCCCTCTACCACTGAGCTACCTTCCCAGCCCTATATTGTGATTTATATAGTAACAAGTGAAAGGATTTTTTTGTATACATTAATATACTGTGTATCTTATAAAACAAAAGAGCCAGGAGCCAGTGGCTCATGCCTGTAATCCTAGCTGCTCAGGAGGCTGAGATCTGAGGATCATGGTTCAAAGCCAGCCGGAGCAGGAAAGTCCATGAGACTCTTCTCTCCAATAAACCACCAGAAAACTGGAAATGGCACTGTTGCTCAAATGGTAGAAATAGCTTTGAGCTGAAGAGCTAAGGGACAGTGCCCAGGCCCAGAGTTCAAGTTCCACCACTGACCAAAAATCAGCCAGATACTAGGAGGTCACTCCTGAAATTTGAGGATTATGGCTTGAAAATAACCTAAGGAAAGAAAGACTCTTATCTCCTTTTAACAGGGAAAAAACAGATATAGAACTGCAGCTCATGGGGTAGAGTACCACCTCTGAGCAAAAAAGCTAAAGAACAGTACTCCAGGCCCTGAACTCAAGCCCCAGTACCAGTACACACACAGAGATATATAGATAGATAGATATAGATAGATAGATAGATTGCGGCCAATGTGACCAAATTGTTATATGTGTGAAACAGTATTCTAGGAAAGAAATACATTAGTAAAATCCTTTTTGTAAGAAATTCTTACTTTGGGGATGTTTGGGACATAGAAACCAGCTCTATTTAAATGAATAGTTTTAACAAACTTGATAATTGAAAAGTATATGTAAATATGAAATCCTGTATATGATGTACAAAGAAAAAGCAACAGCTAGAGAAGTAATATAAAAATCCTCAAACTTCAGTGTATACATAAAGTAAACATACTCATTTTTCAGAATAAATATCCTGTTATTCTTGGGAAATACCTTTTCTTTTTCTTTTTTTGGTGCCAGTCCTGGGGGAACTCAGACCTAGGTGCTGTCTCTAAGCTTTTTTGTTCTTTTCTTCACCTCCTACTTCCTTTACCTAGAACTGAGGTTTACCATCACCCCCATGTCTGAACCCAAAGAGTTCTGTTCTAGAATTTTGTATTTAATCAAATACAGTGTCTTTCCATTATTTCTTTCTTTCTTTCTTTCTTTTTTGGTCAGTTATGGGGCTTGAACTCAAGGCCTAGGTGTTGACCCCCAGCTTTTATGCTCAAGGCTAGTGCTCTACCACTTTGAACCACTTTTTTTCTGGTGGCTAATTGGAGATAAGAGTCTCATGGTCTTTCCTGTCCAGGCTAGCTTCAAACTGCAGTCCTTAGGTCTCAGCCTGCTGAGTAACTAGAATTATAGGCATGAGCCATCAGCACATGGTTATATCTTTCCATTATTATGTCTGCAGGATTTACAGCTTTGCATGTTCGTGGCCTTTACAAAAGAGAGAAGTGAGTCACACGGGCAAAGGAATTAAGACCTCTTTTGTTGTAGTGCTGGGAATTGAGTCCAGAGCCTTGGACCTGCTAGGCAGGCATTCTACCTCTGAGCCAGATCTCCAGGCACACATTCCATTTATATTTTTTGAGATGGGAATCTCATATTTCCTATGCTAGCCTAGAATTCGTATTCTCTTGTGTCATTCTCCCAGGTAGCTGAGATTACATGTGTGTACCACTATGCTTGGCTTTCAACATCCCCCCCCCACCCTTGGGAAGGCTAATTTTATAACTATATGTAATTAGGGAGAGCCTAGATTCCCAACCCAACATTCAAGGCCCTATACATAATTACCCCCCATGTTCTCCTAGAATTCACCATCACTTGAATTGTGCCTTCTGCTTCAGGCAACCCAATCTGCTTCATCAATTGTACACCAATTGTCTTCAACTTGAACTATAAGCTGTTTTTCTGCCTAATCTGTTCTTCTTCCCTGTTTTCTTAGGAATATTTTACCTTGCCGTGTGTGTGGCTGTGCATATGTACATGCGAGTAGTACTAGAGCTATTAAAGGCTGATGCTCTACTACTTGAACCACACCTCTATTGAGAGCTTTAAGATTATTTCCATATGACTTAATACATAACAGCTGATTTATACTTTTACTTTTTACCTGCTTATGGATTGTAAGGGTTTTATCTATCATGTTACATTGTGACTTCTTTGGATACCATGTATATGGTCCATAAAACAATATGTTGCTGCCAGGCGCCAATGGTTCATACCTAGCTGCTCAGGAGGCCGAAATCTGAAAATCACTATTTGAAGCCAGCTTGGGCAGAAAAGTCCTTATCTTCAATTAACCAAAAAGCTGAAAGTGGAGCAGTGGTTCAAATGATAGAGCACTAGCTGTGAGCAAAAAAAGCCCAGGGACATCGCCCTAGTTCCAGCACAAAATAAATACAAACACAAAGTAAATAAAATATATAGTATGTTGCTGTGTACTTGACCAGGTGCAGTGTGTCCAGAGCATATTTCTTAGCTACTCACCTATTCTAGGCCTTAGAATGCAATATGAAGTCATTCTGGATCTGAACAAAGGTAAGCCATGGCAAAGCAGTCAAGAAACATACTGTTAGTTCAATAAAAGGAACTGATACTGGTGTTGGTACTTACATTCAAAAGGAAACTGAACAAAACATGTAAGAGATCACGGGGTTCTAAATTTAAAATATTGACTGTGGCTTTAGAGATGAAAGTTTACTGTTGAGTTCAAGGGCAGCTTTGGGTCAGAGGGTACTTGTATGCATAAAGGAGTTATCTTTTATCTTCAGTGTAAACAGTAATGTTACAATGAAATCAAAGTTCAGAACATAAATGCTAGCGTATCATTATGGGTGAATGTGTGGTTCATGTCATTTATAGTCTCAGGCAAGCTCTAGGCAATGGAGAGTCTCTACAGTTTTCTGCTTACTAGGAGATTGAACATGGAATGTTTCCTAATGCATTTTGATCCAAATCTTAGCTATAAAGTATGTTTTAGCTTGGTGCTGGTGGCTCATGCCAGTAAACCTAGCTACTCAGGAGGCTGAGATTTGAGGATCACAATTCAAAGTCAGCCTGGGCAGGCAAGTCTGTGAGATCTTTATTTCTAGTTAACCACCAGAAAACCAGAAGTGGCCCTGTAGCTCAAAGTGGTAGAGAACTAGTCTTGAGCAAGAGAGCTCAGAAACAATGCCCAGACCCCAAGTTCATGCCCATTACCAACCAGGAAAAGAAAACAAAACGTGTGTGTGCGTGCATGCGTGCGTGTGTGTGTGTGTGTATCTTAGTCTTATTTCTACCAGTATATAAAAAGAAATGACTGTTCTGATAGCAAATCTCTGGAAACTGAAATTGTGATAGAGCCTACCTGTACTTGCTCTTAGCAGCTCTTTAGAGATTTGCTTCTGGGACTAGCTGTTCTTTGACAAGAGTTTTGTTGAGCTATTTTTTCCTCCCTAGACTACCCTACAAACTGATGAAGTTAAAAATGTGCCTTGTGGAACAAGGTAAGCTTTCTGCTTGGTGACCACCTTTCCTTTTAATTCAGATGGATTTTTGTTCCTAAAATTGTAGCCACTTAAAATACTTGGATATAGACATGACAACAATCCATAGAGATTGTCGATATCAAAATTACTTAAACAAAATCCTATCTACATAAAAACTTTCTATCTTAGGAATCAGTTATTGAAAAAAAGTGGATTTTTAGAACCAGCACACCAAACTTTGTATGTCAGCATTACCTAATACATCTGCTTTAATGATTGCTTTTTAAAATAGACTTTATTTTTGTTTTAGAGCAGTTTAAGGTTCATAACAAAATTATTCAGAATGAAAGTAGCACATTACCATATTATGTTCATTACTCCTCTCCAATGCCTTTATGACTTTCCTTAGCTTAGTTCCCTAAAGTCAGGTCAAAAAACAAAAATCAAAAACTTACACTACATAGTTATTGTAAAGGTTAGAATTAGTGTATATGAAGTATATAACCCAGCACTTGGCTCAATAAAAGATAGTTTAAAATTAACTCATCCCATTTTCTTCTCACTTGTAATATATGCCATCTAATTTAGAGTTTCTGATTCAGTAGGTCGGAGTGAGGCCTGAGAATTTGCATTTCTAACAAAGTTCCTGGGTGATGCTGATGCTGCTGGTCTGAAGACCTCACTTTAAGAATTGCTGCCCTAAAGAGGTTTAGGGAGTAAAAGGCAAGCAAGGCCCAAGTTATTTCTAGAGTATACTTACTACATTGAATTATATCAGAAGAGGAATATGAAGTCCAAGGTATTTTTTAAATTACCTATTTTAAATGACCTAAATATTACTATTACAATCTTACAGAGGGCACTTTTGACATCTGTAGAGGTATAGAAACACTTTTAAGAGACTAAACTCTATTTTAAGTTTATGTCTTTGATTTCAAGGTCTCTCTAGGTCTATCTGTAGCATTCTTCTATAGATTTAGTGACTCACCTTTTTTCTATTAATTTGTTTTTAGTGGTGGGGTCATGATCTATATTGACCGGATAGAAGTGGTGAATATGTTGGCTCCTTATGCAGGTATGTTATCCATCTATTCTGTCGTTTTATAGTTGCAACTATAAAACTTATGGTAAATACAAGTAAGGGAGGAATAAAAAGATAACAAGTTTTTACAGACACAAATTATAAAGGAATAATCTAGAATATTTTTTCATTTTTAGGGCATAGAGTTAGAAATAGGTCACAAATTATGGATAGAGTTGACTTTTGGCAACTTTATGAGTTATTCTTTCATTAGTATATCTAAAAACAAGGTAAACATTTATTTCTAGAATGTATGGTAAAAATCTGTAACTGATCAATTTCTTGGGGGGGGGTCATACTGATTTGTCACTATGGAGAAATATTTTCAGTTGAGATTTGCTGTAACTTGCTAAGCATTCAGACTCCTTAGAGAAAACATTTTAGTAAAGACGAAACTTCACAAAACAGAGTGGATAATATTCAATTTTAAAAATTGCAACTTCTGAGGAAAGATTTCACTGTTTGATCTTTAGCTTTGTTAATCAAATTCCCATGTGTACTATGTTTTTTGGTTTTTTTTGTGCCTGGGTTTTGTCCCTCAGCTTTTTTTGCTCAAAGCTAGTGCTCTACTACTTGACCCACAGCCCCACTTCCACCTTTTTGGTGGATAATTGGAGATAAAGAGTCTCACAGATTTTCCTGCCTGGGCTAGCTTTGAACTGTGATCCTCAGATCTCAGCTTCCTGAATAGCTAAGATTACAGGTGTGCATCATTGGCACTCAGCTGAGTCATGTTAAATTTTACATAAGTGGAACAGATACAGATTGTGAAAATCAGAACAGAAGAGCCACAAGGGCATTACTGTTAAGTGGATTTGAATAATACTTTTTAGAAATTTTTTTTTAGGAATTATTTTGTCTTTTTTCATCTATAGTCAGCCAGTCGTTATCTATGGGCTGTACATCCACAGATTGAACCAACCTCAGATTGAAAATATTCAGAAAATAAAATTACACTTGTATTAAATATACATAGACTTATTATTCCTTAAACAGAATTGTATAATAACTATAAGTATTTGAATTATATTAAGCATTACAAGCCATCTAGAGATGATGGAAATTATATAGAAGGATCTGTATAGTTTACATGCAAATATTACACCATTTTATTTAAGATACAGCATTTGTTGATTTTGGTGTGCTCAGGGATCCTGGAATGAATCTCCATTAGATATGAAGGGATGACTTTATAGTTTACTGACCACAAGTCATTTGAATGGATTATGATTAAAAATAGAAAGTGCAAGACAGGTGCCAGTGTAGCTGCTTTCTCTGACTTTTATTGTGTCTTGGCTTATGCAGTCCTTCTTTACCCCTTATCTAAATATTTGCTTTACAATTATGCTTTTTACTTTTTATGCCTCTAAACCCTGTGTCTCTTAAGTTATCTTCATGCTGCTGCCAAAGCACAAATCTCTGTCATGCCTTATCTTTAACAGTTCTTTATTAACTCAAACCTAATACATATTTTCCATAATATATGGAATTTGAAGTTTGCTCGTTTGTATTGTGAGTGCAAGAAAATATGGAGAATTGAGCCCAAAGAATATTTAAAGGTTTGTGAGTTATGTTTTCTGATTTCATTGTTTTGTTGAAACATTTCCTCAGGAATAATATATAACTCTTTTACCCTGGCTGAATTTGAAAATACCTGGGTTATTGTTGGGTAAAACAAACATTGGTTATATCTCTCTTTCAGTATTTGATATCGTGAGAAACTATACTGCAGATTATGACAAGACCTTAATCTTCAATAAAATCCACCATGAGCTGAACCAGTTTTGTAGTGCCCACACACTTCAAGAAGTTTACATTGAATTGTTTGGTAAATGTCTTATTTGTTTTAAATACATAAGTAACCAATTAAAAACGGTTTCAGTTTATTTATTGATGCTGTAACATTAATCAACCTTGCGCTATTTGAACATTTTTCTAAACTTACAATAGAGAAATTATCTTTAAAATACAGATTTATCTTACAATTTTGTGTAGCTTGATAGAGATTAGAAAAACTTTATTCCTCATATACCATATTCTGTTCTTATTATGATAACTTAATGAAAATTAGTCTTATTGTAATAGATAATTTGAGAAAATTAAGAAGTCTGTGTTTGGGAGGATTTCCCAAGATCACTACTAATTCAAGATTTGGTGGAAGAATGACAAGATTTAGCCTGTACTTGTATTTACAGCTAATATGTATTATAGGCAAAAGATACAAAGCAAAACTAGCAAAAAGAAAAGTTACATGGATGAAGTCAAGAGGAAACCAGAGCCAGGAGCTAGTGGCTTATATCTTTAATCCTAGCTACTCCAGAGGCTGAGATCTGAGGATCAAGGGTCAGAGCCAGCCCAGGCAAGGAAGTCTTTGAGACCCTTATCTCCAGTTAACCACCAGAAAACTGGAAGTGAAGCTAAGGCTCAAAGTGATAGAACATTAGCCTTGAGCAAAAAAGCTCATGGTCTACACCTAGGCCCTGAGTTCAAGTCCTATGACTGACAAAAAGAGGAAACCAGAAGCTGGGCTTTCATGACTCATGCCTATAATCCTGGCTACTCTGAAGGCTCAGATCTGAAGTTTGTGGTTCGAAGCCAGCCGGCGCAGGAAGTCCGAGACTCTTTTATCTCCACTAAACTCCAGAAGTAGAGCTGTGGCTCAAGTGGTAGAGCACTTGCCTTAGGCAAAAGGAAGGTCAGGAACAGAGCCCAGGCCCTGAGTTCAAGCCTCAGGACTGGCACCAAAAAAAGAAGAAAAAACAGATAAAGAATCTTTTTAGAAAGGAGTTGGAAAGGATGTTTTTAATTTCCCTAGTAACAAATTGTGACAGTACATGAAATGTCTCAAGAAACTTCTGTAGTTACAGTTACTCAGTGCTTAGCATTTTGTACTGCAGCCTGGTAATGTAGGAACTGTATGACCACTATATACTAATCTTATAGACTACCAGAAGAAAAACACATGTTCAGCACAAACCATATTGTGTGTCTAAATAGTTTAGGCACAGTGAGCCACTTTTATCAGTTCTGGAGATGGTGGAAACCCTTCCCAAATCCCAGGTTTTCAGGTGCCCACTGGTCAACTTACACACTGGCTTTAAGGATCACAGTTTCAGGCCTGCTATATTTACTTTGTTCTGAACAAGTTTTCATTTGTAACAATGAAAGTTCTGACTTGAATATGTGCAGTTGTTATTTGGTTGCTTACTCACACTCCTGGAATTTTTTTCTTGGATTCATTGGAATGAAGCTAGAATCTCCCAGCTGATAGCTCTTTTATGATGAACAACTATGATAGTGGTATATGAGGAAACAAAACGGTCATAATTTTTCACAGTTATTTTAATGGTGATAATAAGCTGGGCACCAGTAACTCATGCCTGTAACCTATCAGGAGGCTGATATCTGGAAGATCAGTTCAGAGTCAGCCCAGGCAGAAAATCATAAAACTCCATCTCCTATTAGCCAGGTAGGAGGCATGGCTCAAATGGTAGGACACCAGCAGTGAGCAAGAAAACTGAATGGGAATACTAGGCCCTAAGTTCAGACCTCAGTAGGGGGGGTGGGCGGAGGTCAAAGTATTGAGGTCAATAAAAATCACGAGTAAAGTGACACCATCTTCATTGTCCAGTACATTTGTGCATCAGACTTCCTATGAGTGTTTTGTTCTTTTAAATCAAAAATATAAGGAAAATGACATCTAGGGATTTGTGCAAAGACTGACTAAAGGTAGGAATTAGCTTTAAAAAAAAAAAATGAGAATAAAGCCAGGTGCCAGTGGCTCACAGCTATAATCCTGGCTACTCAGGAGGCTGAGATCTGAGGGCCTTGATTCAAAGCCAGGCTAGGCAGCAAAGTCCATGAGACTCTCATCTCCGATTAACCACCAGAAAACCAAAAGTAGCACTGTAATAGAATGCTCACCTTGAGCTGAACAGCTGAGGGACAGTGCCCAGGCCCAGAGTTTAAGCCCCATGACTGACAAAAAGAGAGAGAGAGAGATTAGATATGTATAAGTCCTGAACTAAGACACTATGGATCCAGATTGTTCATTTACTGAATAAATTAGTTTTACACAATAATTAAATTTAATAAGTCAACAAGTTACCCTATGAATACATTTATCCAAAGTTGTTAAATGAGCTTATTAGGTAACTTGAACTTTTTTTTAAGCAAACAAGATTAATATTTTTCTTCTTTATTAACTAATGTCTCACTATTTTCCATACAAAAGGAAAATGCCTCCTATACATTTCACTTATGCTTCATAAAGGAAGAGTAGGTGTATGTCTGCAGAAGCTAGGTCTCACAGTGACTGATTTTGCTTTGATATTAATGCATTGTTTTAAAAAAATATCAGCCAGGAACTGGTGACTCAAGCCTATAATCTGAGCTACTCAGGAGGCTGAGATCTAAGGATCATGGTTCAGAGTCATCTTGGAAAGGAAAATCTGTGAGACTCTGATTTCCAGTTAAATACCAGAAAACCAGAAGTGGAGTTGTGGCTCTAAAGTTCTAGCCTTGAGTGAAAGAGCTCAGGAATAGTGCCCAGTCTCTGAGTTCAAGCCCCACAACTGACCAAAAAAAGTGAGTAACCTGAGATAAGTTGTCTTTGACTTTCAAAAACAGATCAAATAGATGAAAACTTGAAGCAAGCACTACAAAAAGATTTGAACATCATGGCCCCTGGTCTCACCATACAGGTAAGCCCTTTTCTAAAGAAGTTCTCTGGAAGGTTTTGGGAGGAATTTTTGGTTTGGTTTGGTTTATGTTTGTTGTTGCTGGGGTTTGAACTCAGAGCTTTGCACGTGCTAACTTGCTGGGCATAGGCTGTGCCATTTGAGCCAGACCCCCACCCATGTTGCTTTCATTTTTTTCTGGATGGGGGTCTTCCATTTGTGCCTAGGCTGGCTTGAACTAAGATCCTTTTCTTTAAGATTTTCACATCCAAAATGACTAGACCTTGAGAATAGGTATTTATATGCAGTGTCAATGAAAAATGCAGGATTTGTTGTTGTTGTTTGGTCGTGGGAATTGAATTCAGAGCCTGGATACTGTCTCTGAACTGTTGTGCTCATGGATAGCACTCTACCACTTTGAGCCATAGTCCACTTTCAGTTTTCTGGTGGTTAATTGGAGATAAGAGTCTCATGGATGTTCCTGTCCAGGCTGGCTTCAAACTGTGATCCTCAGATCTCAGCCTCCTGAGTAGCTTGGATTATAGGCATGAGCCACCATCACCCAGAGAAAAATGTGTTTCTTACTAAGTGCCTGTAGTCAATAACATTTGAAAACCACTTCTAGATCCTGTAGTACGTTAGAACTGGTAACTTGGTTTCTGTAGCATTCTTTCTCAGAATTGTGGAACATGGGTTGATTATTGTGATTACCATTACTACAAGTGAACATACATTTTCTTAGTTTTTGTGTTTCAATTCTTTTTGCTCAGTGGCACAGAGAAGGTCCCTGATAAATATTTCTGTTGCTAAATGAACACTCTGAAACAATGTTTTCTTAGGTGTCATGGCATCTCAATTCTTTTTGCTCAGTGGCACAGAGAAGGTCCTTGATAAATACTTCTGTTGGTAAATGAACAGTCTTTTCTTTTTGGTCTAAGACTTGAACTCGGTATCTGACACTTTTGCTTACTTGCTGGCATTCTTACACATGGTCACACCACCAACCCCACAATTTGGTTATTTCTTCTTCTTTTTAAGTGAACGATCTCTGTAAACATTAATATTTTTTTCTACTTTTCATACCCCATTTTTATCCTTGAAAAGCTGTTCTTACAGATTAATATGTTTGTACTGTTTTATTTAGTGGAATGACTATTATATGCTGACTTTGGGTTTTAAATACTTATATCCCAGAGGTCAGTTTCAAGTATATTTATTTCATCAGCTTTTTGCTCTCCTTTATTCCCTCACAATTTGTGTGTGTCTGTGTGCATGCTTGCATATGTATATTAGTTATTAGTTTTGGATATGTTACATGTTTTTCTTAAATCTCTTATGCAGTTTACTCATGATTATCTGTTATAGCAAGAGTTTATCTTTTGACTTGCTTGAAAATGTATGATGTATTTCAAGATTGGCAAGAATATAGCCTGTTCTGTCTCATACTGGACAAGAAGTCTTCAGAAGATAGTCCAGTCTGAAAATGTCATAATGAAACTCATTATTCTCTATGGTTAATGTTCATTTAAAACCATTTTATGCTCATTTTCATGAGGTTAAAATCTCTAAATTAAATGCAGTGTGCCAATATCTTTTGAATTGTATTTATCCAATTAGGTATGTCTGGTAGTAACAGTGTGAAAATACTATACAGAGGGGTTACAGTTACATGAGCAAGGTAATGAGTACATTTCTTATCAAGCATTGTTGCCTACTTCTTTGGTTTTCCCCTACCATCCCTTCTTTCCCACCTCCTCAACTCCACTCGCCCCCTTCCTCCTCCCTCCACTGCCTAAATTGTAAAGTTTGTTTTTCAACATAGGATCTTGTACATCTCATTGTTGCAATGGGCCAACCTGTATCCCTATTTAAACAATTTGTTTTTTCCCTTCCCCTCCCCAAATTATACCAGCATCAAATACAGTGAGAACAGGGGTTATACCGTGGGGGAGGGACATACAAAGCAGCAAAAAAAATCACATGATATCTTATAAATACGTTAGAAACAATAGCAAGAAAGAAAAAAAACACTTGTGTCCCTATCTTGGCGTTCATTTTGCTTAACATCATCTTATCTGACCTTTTCTACTTGTCCCAAATATATACTAGTTATTGCAAATAAGGGAAACCATGGGACTTACGTTCCTTTGGGCCTGGCTTACTTCACTTAATATAATTTTATCCAAGTCTTTCCATTTCCTAACAAATGGGGGCGATGTCATTCTTTCTGATTGAGGCATAGATTGTGTGTGTGTGTGTGTGTGTACACATATATATACATATATACACACCCATATATATGTATATACATATGTATTTACACATATATGCATGTATATGCATATATGTGTATATATACACATATATACCACAAATAAATGGGCTAAAGACTTAAAGAGAAACTTCTCTGAAGAAGAAATAAGAATGGCCAATACACACATGAAGAAATCAACCTTTCTAGCCATAAAAGAAAGGCAAATCAAAACAACATTGAGATTCCACTTCACCCCAGTTAGAATGGCTATAATCAAGAACTCTAATAACAGCAGATGCTGGAGGGGCTGTGGCCAGAAGGGAACCTTACTGCATTGTTGGTGGAAGTGTAAACTTGTTCAACCACTTTGGAAAGTAGATGGAGGTTCCTCAAAAGACATAGAGCTCCCCTATAACCCAGCAATCCCACTTTTGGGCAGTTACCCGAATGATCTGGTTCTGAATTTTTGTCTTCTGAATATCTCTTCTGTATTATTCTATGACATCACATACTTCACCTTAAATGTATGATGAGGTCTTCCACATAACCCCACTTTTTATTCCATTCTACAGTAATCATTAGTTATGATAATCTTCAAAACTGCCTACAGATTTGACTATTCTCTTTCATGTAGGGAATGATGTGTTGCTTAAAAGTTCACATATGTGGGCAAGCTACATCTTCAGCCCACTTAAAAGTTTTTAAAGTTTTAAAATCCTTGTGTATAAAGGCTTTGTTACTTAAACATTTAGCCAGTTTTCAGAAGCTAATTAAATCTTCCTTCAGACCAGTAAAGTGTTTTCTGTATGTATTTGCAGTGTAAATTGGGGAGTGCCGGATGTTTAAGTAGTATAATCAAAAGGTTTTGAGATATCTAATCCTAGGTGTAGAAAAGTCAACCTTCAAACAAATCCAAGCAGGTAATCTCAATTATGTCCAACTATACTATCATTAGAGGAAAAAATTATCTAGTAGAAAAGATTGTCCATATCCTGATGGACACAGTAGCTCCCACCTATAATCTTAGCTACTTAAGTGATAGCGATTATGAGAATTGAAGTTCAAGGCCAGCCCAGGCAAAAAGTATAGGAGACACCCCCCCCACACACACACACGTTAACCAATAAAAGTTGGACGTAGTGTCACATAACTGTCATTTATATGGGAAGCATACATAGGAGGATCACTGTCCAGGCAATTGTGGAAATAAACTCAAGACTCTGTTCAAAAAACAAACAAAACAGTGAAGCCCAAAGGGCCAGGTATGTGGCTTAAGTGGTAGAGTGCCTGTTTAGCAAGCCAAGCCCTAAGTTCAAACTCAAGTACCACCAAAAGTAGATTTTAAAATAATGTCCATATTTACACATTGTGATACATCTGTGTGGGAGGTAGAAGTAGAAGGATCATGAGTCCAAGGCCAACCTGGGAAAAATTAATGATGATGAGGTATCATAAAATATCAAAAAGGTTAGGGTTGTAGCTCAGTGGTAGAGCACTTGCCTAGATACTGTACTTGCCTAGCAAGCACCAGGTTCTTGGCTCAATCCCCACTGCTACTCCCCAACATTTTCTGCGAAATCCCCTCCAATCCCCCATAAGGCAGGTAGACCTTTGTTGTTGTTACTGTTTTTCAATACTGGAGATTAAAACCTGAGCTTCACACTTGCTAGTTAATCACTCTACCAGTCTTTATGGTGGGTTTTTTGTTGTTGTTTTTTGTTTTTTATGCTAGTACTGGGACTTGAACTCATGGCCAGGGCACTTTCCCTTAGCTTTTTCATTCAAGGCTAGTGTTCTACCATTTGAGCCACACTTCCACTTCTAGCTATTTGCTGGTTATATGGAGATAAGAGGTTCTTAGATTCGTTTACCCATGCTGGCTCTGAACCATGATCCTCAGATTTCAGCCCCTCCCCCCCTCAGTAGCTAGGATTACAAGCATAAGCTGTTGGCACCAGATTTTGTTTTGTTTTTTTGAGACAGGGTCTTCCTATGTAGCCCAAATAAGCCTTGAACTCCTGCCTCTGCCTTTGCCTCCTAGGCATGCCTTATTACATCTAGCTAGACTTTAAGCAATATTCCAGCAAGAAAGAATGTAAGCTATTCATTGGTACCTACCATCCAACCATTTGGCTATATATATATGTGTGTGTATCTAGTGCCAAATGATAGCCATTTTAGGAATTCATAAATTAATTTGCCCACTAGACACAGTATTCACTTGCATGTGTTAACCTGGGTTTTCATTTGCTTTTGCCTCTCTGAATTCACGATTGCAACTTTGTACCTTTGCCTGCCTCTGTTTCATTGGCTTTTAAGCTTGAGAAGGAAAGCAAAACTATACAACTACAGATTTTTGTATATATTTAAGAAGATCCTATTCTCTGAGAGAGTTTATTTCCTCCGTGGATACTTTTTCTCCTATAGATAAACAACAAACTGGTAGCTTATCTCTGATTCTTCCTATTGATGACATGAAAAGTAGATTCTCTAGAGAGATCCCTATCATATGTGTTGGTAGACAGCTGTATGGTAGTTGTTGTTTTATTGGAATACTTTGGGGATCTCTGGATGATTTAGTTCAAAGATTTACATTTTAAGTATACTTTTATATTTTTACTTTTATAGGCTGTGCGTGTCACAAAGCCCAAAATCCCAGAAGCCATAAGAAGAAATTTTGAGTTAATGTGAGTAATATGCATGGATCCTAATATTTCTGTCTAGAGCTGTCTACGTAGTAATATACCACTGTACTGCAAACATATGAGATAGTATGCTCTGGGGTTGGGTAAATACCTATTTTCCAAATATTTATGTTAATAATACTACCAATTCTTACTTTGAGACTCTGTTTTCTGCTTTGTTCTTAATATCATCTTTATGTCCCCTTCCTTCTTTTCTCCTTTTTTTTGGTGAGGGGGCAGTATTAAGGTTGAACTCAAGGCCTTGTACTTGATAGGCAAGTGCTCCACCACTTGAGTCACACTCTTTTTGCTTCAGTTATTTTTCAGATATTGTCTCACATTTTTACCTGGGCTATCCTCAGACAGAAATGTTCTTAACCACCTTCTGCATAGCTAGGATGACAAGCCTTGGTTTGTTGACATCAGGTCTCACTAACTTTATTGCTTTTGCTAATCTCAAAAACTTTCATCTTCTGGTTCTTTACCTCATCCCAAGTGGTAGTACTTCAGATGTTTTCCATCATACCTGACACCAGCTTTTTTTGTTTTGTTTTGTTGGTCATGAGGCTTAAACTTGGGGCCTGGAAGCAGTACCTGAGCTTTTATGATCAAGGCTAGCACACTACCACTTTGAGCCATAGCACCAATTCCAATTTTTTGGTTGTTAATTGGAGTAAGGGTCTCACAGAAGCTGGGCACTGGTGGCTCAAGCCTGTAATCCTAGCTACTCAGGAGAGAGGCTAAGATTTGATAGTAATGATTTTGAGCCAGCCCAGATCCATGGGACTCTTATCTCCAGATAACCAGCAAAAAATCAGAAGTAGACATGTGGCTCATCAGCCATGAGAGAAAATGCCTAGCAAGAGCACAAGGGCCTAAATCTAAGGCACACTAAGAGCAAAAATAAAAAATTAAAATCTAGGACTGGAGGGAAGCGTAGTGGTAGGGTACTTATCTAGCATATATCCATGCATTAGGCATTGGGTTTGATCTCCAACATTGCAAAAATAATTTCTAAGTTTCATGATGTTTTGCTTTACAGGGAAGCTGAGAAGACAAAACTTCTTATAGCTGCACAAAAACAAAAGGTTGTGGAGAAAGAAGCTGAGACAGAGAGGAAAAAGGCTGTTATAGGTACTTAGATTTATTTATGAATGTCTTTAAAGTATGTATGTATTAAGTTTGTCCTAAGATTGGTCAGTCTCATGTTAGATATTGACTAATACTCAATATAGATATGTAGTAGAGAGTTCTGGAAACGTCATTGTACATACAGATATACTCAAGCCTGTAAAAGGAAGTGAGGTTAGTATTATTCAAGTGTCTTGGCTCTTTCATCAAGTCATTAGCTATCACTATTGTCTCCTTCAAGAGTAGAGAGAATGGGTAGGGTTTATGAGCAACTTTAGGTTCTGTGGAGTAGATTTCCACTCATATGGAATAGAGAAATTTTTTGGCCAGAGCTCAAGATTACAGTACATGTCATTGGTGTTGACAAACGCCTTGTTATATCTAGTTAAGGTACTGCTATCTTCAAAAGTACTTAAGAATTGCCTGTAGATGTTATAACTAAATATTTCAGATATAAAGGAATGGACCAAGAAGAGTACAATGAAGTCTTAATATTTTGCCATATTTCTTTGAGATGTTTTCTTTAAAGAAAACAAAATCTGTTTGAAGCTTTCTCTTTACCTTTCTCCACTCTTACTTATTTTACCTGTTTGACCTTACAAAAGTGATATAAAATTACCTTGTATTGTACACTGGCCTTTTTTTGATCTGACTGTTGAGTTTTATTCATATTGATACTGGTATATCTACTTTTTTAAAATGTTCTAGTCTTCAAACGGTTTTACAAGGAGATTGTAATTTAACATCCAGTGCATCAGAGTGCTCCTTCATGTAGTTCATTTTTAACTGCTGGCCTCAGTTTATTCTAGAGAATTACTTCTGAAGTTAAATTTTTGTTCATCTGTGTTACAAACACTACTGTGATAATATGTTTTTTCATGTCTTCTTGTGCATTTCTATTATTGGAACATTATTTAGTGTGTGATGTGGCTTTGTACTCTTATACCAGCTTTTTCCAGAATCACAGTAAGATGAGTACAGGTTATAAGGACTAAGTTAGAAAGCTTTTTTGTATGCCAATCCTGGGGCTTGAACTCAGGGTCTTGGGAGTGGTCCCTAAGCTTTTGTGTTCAAGGCTAGAGCTCTGTCACTTGGGCCACAGCTCCATTTCCGGTTTGGTTTTGTTCTTTTTGTTTTGTTTTTGTTTTCGTGTTTTTTTGCTGGTTAACTAGAAGTAAATCTTGTCGATGTTCCTGATCAAATGGGCTTTGAACCTCTATCCTCAGATCTCAGCCTCCTAAGTAGCTAGGGTTACCGGTATGAGCCACTGGGAGGCAGGTGTGTGTGTGTCAGAGAGAGAGTGAGAGAGTGTGTCAGCTATCCCTGGCTGTGTGCGTATGTGTGTCAGAGAGAGAGAGAGTGTGAGAGAGAGAGAGAGAGAGAGACAGAGAGAGACAGAGAGAGAGAGAGAGAGAGACAGAGAGAGAGAGAGAGAGAGAGTGTGTGTGTGTGTGTGTGTGTGTGTGTGTGTGTGTGTGTGTGTCAGCTGTCCCTGAGCTTCTTTGGCTCAAGACTAGCACTTTACCATCTGAGCCACAGTGCCACTTCAGGCCTTTTCTGAGTAGTTATTTTGGAGATAAGAATCTCACAGACTTTCCTGCCAGGGCCACTTCAGGCCTTTTCTGAGTAGTTATTTTGGAGATAAGAATCTCACAGACTTTCCTGCCAGGGCTGGCTTCAAACTGCCATTCCCAAATCTCAGCCACCTGAGTAGCTACAATTACAGGCATTAGCCACCATAGCTAATTGTTCCTCTTAACTGTTGACTGTTCCTTACTGTTCCTAAATTTGTCCTGACTATTCTAGGCATTATTCCTCCTGCTAGAGTTCTATAAAATTCTGTGTTGGGATTTTTATTGCAATTGTATTAAATGTATTCATCAATTTGAAAAGAATTACCATACTTGTGCATTTGTTAGGGATTTATATATTCTTTAAAGGTTTTATTTGCTTATTTGTTTTTACCCAGTCATGGGGCTTGAACTCAGGGCCTAGGCCCTGTCTTTGAGCTCTTTTGCTCAAGGCTAGTGCTCTGCCACTTTAAGCCACAGCTCCATTTCCAGTTTTCTGATGGTTAATTGGAGATAAGAGTCTCCTGGACTTGCCTAACTTTGAACCACAATCCTCAGATCTCAGCCTCCTGAATAGCTAGGATTATTGGCCTAAGCCACTAGCTCCCAGGTTTGATTTTTCTTTTTTAAACCTGTTAATATGTTGCATTATATTAATAGATTTTCTGTTACTGGATATTCTTTTTATTCTTAGGTTAAACCTATGCGGTTAACAATATAAGAAGTTTATCATAAGTCTCTCAGTTATGGTTTGCTGGTAATTTCTTTAGAATTTGTCCTTTTTTGTAAATTACATCAACTTATTTTCTTACGTAAATAACAAAGTTTTGTTTCTTTGTTTTGGTATTTTTTATTTTGGTTTGTAGTTTTAAATTTTTTTGGTGCTAGTCCTGGGGCTTGAACTCAGGTCCTAGGGTGCTGTCCCTGGGCTTTTTTGCTCTACCACAGCTCATGTTCAGCTTTTTTAGTGCTTAACTGGAAATGAGAGTGGATCCTCAGGTTTCAGCCTCCTGAGTAGCTAGGGTTACAGGTGTGAGCCACCAGCACCTGGCAATTTTTACTTTTTAATGGTTCTACTAGCCTCAGAATTACTTAAAGAACATTTCTTCCTTTTCTGGAGCATTTTGTATAAGATAATTGTTCCCTCTTTTTTGTAGGTCTGGTGGCACTCACTTGTGAAAACCTTTTTATTCTAATTGTGTTTGTGCTTTTTATTTACTTGCATTTTATGGTGACATTTAACATGGTGATTTAATTTCTATATTGAATATATATCTGTTCAGGTATTTGGAAGTGTTATGATTTGCTTGTTTTTTGGTGGTACTTGCTATGCAGGTGCTCTACTCATTTTTTAATATGTATTTTTTATTGTAAAGATACTGTACAGAGGGGTTACGGGTAGATGGGTAGGGTAATGAGTACATTTCCTATGGAGCATTGTTACCCCCTCCTTTGTTTTTCCCTACCATCAGGTGCTCTACTCTTGAACCACACCCTCAGCCCTTTTATCTTTAGGTAGCTTTCATATAGGGTATTATGGTTTGGTTTGGTTTTGTTCTCAAGACTTGCTTAGAGCAATAATCCTTCTCCTTAACTCCTTAGCTGGGTGCACAGGGTCCTGCCTAGCTTTATTGTTGGGGTGGAGGTTTTGATGCCTTTTTGCCTAGGCTGACCTAGAACAAGATAGGCTTTATTTTTATTCTTTTTTTCCCCAGAGAAATGGATTTTGTTTTTGTTGTTATTTCTTTTCAGTGTTATTTGTACTTATTTTTATTCTGTCTCCAAAGTTTTGAAATGTATTTTGCTTATGTTCAGTTTTAATTCCTCTAAAAGCATTTTCATTGTATTTTCATCTTTTGACTTATGAGTTATTTGTATAATTTTATAATATAATTTTAAATTTCTGGTTCAATGGGTTTTGAAGCTTTCCCTTTTTTGTTGATTTTTCAGTGTCAATTTTAGAAAACAAAATCTGATACATTAACTCTTTTTTAAAATTTGTCTTGTAGCCTATCTACCCATATCTCCTTTTGTAAATGTTCTTTATATGCTTGAAAAACATGAATATATATATATATATATTCCCCATTTATTGAACACAGATTGCTGTAGGTTAGTTAAGTCAATCTTATGGATTGTATTGATCACATCTGTATTCTATTTTTTTGTCTTTATGAGCTATCATTTACTAAGAAAGATGTGTTAAAACGTCCACCATGCATGTATTTGTTAACTTGTAATTTTTTTCTTTGTATGTTTTGGGTCTGTATCATTAAGAACATTACAGTTCAGGATTATTACACGTCCTTGGGAAATGGCTTCTGTTTTTGTTCATCTGTTTTGTTTTTTAACATTCTTTTGTGTGTGTGCCAGAACTGGGGCTTGAACTCAGAGCTTGGATGTTGTCCCTCAGCTTTTTGTGCTCAAATACAGTGCTCTACCACTTGAGCCACAGCTTTACTGCTAGCCTTTTGGTGATTAATTGGAAACAAGAATCTTACGGTCTTTCCTGCATATGCTGGCTTCAAACTGCAATCCTCAAATCTCAGTCTCCTAAGTAGCAAGGATTACAGGCATGAGCCACTAGTGTCTAGCCCAACATTCTTTTTCCTTAAACCTGCTTTGTGGCTTATGAAATATTTTGTGCAATGATAATGTAGCTATGCCAGATTTCTTTTGGTTATTTTTTCTTGATATATATCTTCCCATCCTTTTTTACTTTCAACTTTTCTATGTCATTGTTTTAGGTGTGTCTCTTATAAACAGCATATAGCTGGATTTTGTTATCTTATCCAAAATGTGAGAATCTGTCTTTTAACTGGTGAGTTTAGTCTTTTTATATTTATTGTGGTTACTGCTATATTTAGATTTTATTTGCATCATTCAGTTTTGTGCTGTTTATCATGCATTTTTCCCCCCTCTACTTTCCCTTCCCCCTTCATTTCTGATATTCAGTTGATTGAGTTGTTTTTTATTCTTTTACTGGGCTGGAAATTTTACACTCTTGTTTCTGACATATACACTAGTCATCACCTCTGAAATATTAACAAGTATACTTGACAACGGCTGAAGTTAGTATTCTCTTTATTCTCTTCTTGAACAATACTTTGGAATGTTTTAACTCCTGTTTCTATCCTCCGTCTCATGTGTTGTTTCCTTGTGTTTCTAGTTTCATGTTACTTTTATCTTCCCATTGATTATACCATCATGATGATTATTGGTTCTCACAGTAAACATTTACTTTGATTTATAAATAGTCATTTTTTTCTTCTGCATTGCTCTGGCTTTTTTTTTTCTTACAGCTTTTTTTCCCCTTTGTTTCAGTGAACACTAAGGAGTGGAGACCTTGTTCAGTCATCCTTGGTCTAAACATGCTTTTATTTTATTTTTAAATGATAATTTAGCTTACAATTCCACACTAAACTAATTTTTTATCACTTTGCCAGTGTTATTACAATTTTATTTGGCCTGTTAAACCTATTACAAATATTCCATCATTGAGTAATTAGTCTCTGCTTGTTTTTTGCGAGTTCTTTCTGTATTTTAATGTCCTTCAGTTTCTCTGTTATCTAATGTTCCTAGGTAGAGGAAAGCTCTCACTGGGCTGCTAGAGTTCTTAGTCCCCATTTCACTAGAGTTGCTGCTTTAGAGGTCTCAAGTTTTAAATTACACTCTTAGTTCTCTCATTGCAAGGCATCATATTGCTCTACTTGAGCCGTTACTTAAGTCTTTGTCCCTGTGTTTACCACCCCCACAACTGCCACCATAATAGGCTCTCACTTTGCTTTTGTCACCTGAATATCTCATTCTCATATGGGCTTGCCATGCATTTAAAAACAAACACATTGGCCAGGCGCTGGTGGCTCACGCCTGTAATCCTAGCTACTCAGGAGGCTGAGATCTGAGGATCGCGGTTCAAAGCCAGCCCGGGCAGGAGAGACCGTGAACCACCAGAAAACCGGAAGTGGCGCTGTAGCTCAAGTGGTAGAGCACTCGCCTTGAGCTGAAGAGCTGAAGGACAGTGCCCAGGCCCAGAGTTCAAGCCCCACGGCCAACAACAACAACAAAAAAAAAATTGTATTTAATGTTGAATGTTAAAGGCATTAGCTGAAATATTTTCTCTTTTTTTTTTTTTGGGTCCGATCGTGGGGCCTGAACTCTGGGCCTGGGCATTGTCCCTCAGCTCTTCAGCTCAAGGCTAGTGCTCTACCACTTGAGCCACAGTGCCACTTCCGGCTTTTTTCTTTTTGCTTATGTGGTGCTGAGGAATCGAACCCAGGGTCTTGAGCATGCAAGGCAAGTGCTCTACCACTGAGCCACCTTCCCAGCCCAGCTGAAATATTTTCTTACTAGCCTACTCAACTATTTTTCTAGAACTAGAAATAGCATTATTGAAGAACTAGAACTCTCATTGGTTATTTCCACATGATGGAGAGAAGTATTGATGAAATTCCACAGTAGTTCTTCTATGTGGAGACATTCTCTAGATTCTAGCTGCAGGCTTCACTTTGTATTTTGCATTAAGTTTCTGCTTACGGCTAAATGTCTAGCCCAGTAGTTAATTTATTTGTTTGTTTGTTTGTTTTGCCAGTCCTGGGGCTTGAATTCAGGGCCTGAGCACTGTCCCTGAGTGTCTGTTTGCTCAAGGCTAACACTGTACCACTTGAGACAGCACCATTACCAGCTTTTCTGTTTATGTGGTACTGATATGAATCAAACCCAAGGCTTCATGCATGCTAGGCAAGCACTCTACCACATTCCCAGCTGTCAGTAGTCATTTTTATGATAGTATGCTAGGTTAATTTTACTCTGATACAGAATAATTATGGCCTACAATAGTTGATTTTGTCTTCTGGAACGAAGAAACTACTTGAAAATTTTCTTAGGTATATTTGCCAAGGGCCTGGAATAAGATTTGTTAAAATATGATAATCTCTTTATACCTGTGGGTACAAAACATGCCCACATACCATGCCCGTACAAAAATCTGCAGATGCTTCTTCCCTTATGTTAAAATGACACTTTTTTCAAATAACTTAAGCACATTCTCCCATATACTTTAAATCTATAGATTATTTGTAACACCTGTTATAAATACATTAATCATTTCTAGTTAGGTCATTTAGAGAACAATAAGAAAAATATCTGCACATGTTCAGTAAAATACAAGTTTTTCATTTTCAACCTTCATTTGGTTGAATCTGTAGGTGAGAAACCTGTGAATGCAGATGGCCAACTGTACTCAACTTTGGATGAAAAAGCAAACTCAAACTGGGTGGTGGTGGCTCATGCCTGTAATCCTAGGTACTCAGGAGACTGAGATCTGAGGATCACAGATTGAAGCCAGCTCAGGCAGGAAAGCCATGAGACTATCTCCACTTAATCACCAAAGAAGCTAGAAATAGAGCTATGGCTCAAGTGGTGTAGTGCTAGTCTTGAGCAAATAAAGCTTAGGAATAGTGCCCAGACCCCCTCCAAACTGGTAAACCCACAACAAGAAAGAGAGAGAGGGAGAGAAGGGAAGTTCGGAAAGGGAAAGAGTAGAGGGAAGGGAAGGACAAACTGAGAATGTTCTTTAAGAATTGCATTGATTAACTGTAAAGTGAAATCCTGAATCCTTTGGTTGTGGTTAAAGGTTTGCTCAGGGTGTTTAGATTGTCCCAAGCATGCTTCCTGTGGCTGCTAACATGCTCATTCCTAACATTTATTTCATCTTCTAAGATGAATTAACTCTACTTTTTTTGTCTTTTATTGGCATTCAGAGTATTCCTCCTCTGGTTTTCTTTTCCTCATGTCATTTACCTGATAGATCCTGAGTATTTTACAGTAAACTTAGTCTGTCACTCAAGACAGATCTTCTAGCCTTCTTTTTAGTCTTTTTTTCTGATTGTCTTGTCAGAATTATCTTTCCATTGTGACTAGTTCATTCATGCCTTCTTGTTTTCCTTAAATTATACTTCCTCACATTTTCTTCTGGATTCATGTCTATTGTTTTCTATAAAATTCCTTCCAGGACTTTCTTGGTTTAACTTACCACTCTTACTCTTTCTCATGCCACATTTTACGATTGTCCCATGTTACCATGCACTTATGTTGCTCTGGTTTTGTCTTGTAGTACTTTATTATTAAGTATCTTTTTTAACTTTTAGTTTGTGACTCATTGCTACAGTCTCATTCATAGAGTACTGGAGCCATTAACCTTTTAATACTCCTTACCATAAAACTTGGACTACCAACTAGAGCAGTAGTAAAAGTAAGACATAAATTCTTTTATCTCTTTAAGTCATTTAAAGTTCAAATAAATAAAATTTACAGGAAACAAATAGCCAAAAGGTCCTATATAATTAATGTTAGACTGTTCTGCTGACTCTTAATTGCCTCAGGTATTTTTAATGTGTCCTCTTTTGTTGTATAATTATAGAAGCAGAGAAGATTGCACAAGTGGCAAAAATTCGCTTTCAGCAGAAGGTGATGGAGAAAGAAACTGAAAAGCGCATTTCAGAAATTGAAGGTACCTTGGAGTATGAGGCTCTACTGTCCAGATCTGCTATTTTACTTCAGGGATCAGCTCTGGCTTGTCTTGTAGGGAAGACCATAGAATATTTTGATCTGGGAGAAGTAGTTGGTCTAATATTCTAGATGAAATTTCTAAAATACTATTATATATGTAGTGCTTGCTTTGGTGTGTGACTCATATTATGGCTCAACTTTTTCCTTAAATTTGAGCTTATTCACTTTTGTTCTAGTCTCAAAGTATTCAGCCAGGTACAAGTGGCTCACACCTGTAATTCTAGCTCATAAGGGGCTAAGATCTGTGGATCGCTGTTCAAACCAGGCCAGGAAGGAAAGTCTGTGAGACTCTTTATCTCCAGATAATAACCAGAAAACTGGTAGTGGTTCTGTGGCTTAAAGTAGTAGAGTGCTAGCTAGCCATGGGCAAAAAAGCTCAGGGACAGTGCCCAGGCCCTAAGTTCAAGCCTCATGACTGGCCGAAAAAAAAAATTATTCAAAATCAGTTGTATAAAGAATGTATAAAATAATGAAACACCACTAGTTTCTTTTTCATTTATCCAAAACAGCTATAGCAATAACAAAAGAGAAAAAAAGTTACAGGTCTGATTGTGGGTTTTGTTTTATTTCATTTTGTTTATATGGTGTTTGAACTCAAAGTCTTATACTTAATTCAGTTTGGCAGTGGCTTTAAACACTTGAGCCACACTTCCAGTCTGGCTTTTTGCTTGTTGTTCTGGAATATGGAGTCTTGTGGTCTTTTTTTTTTACCTGAGCTGGCTTCAAACTGTGATCTTATAGATCACAGCCTCTTGGGTAGATAGGATCATAAGTGTGAGCCACCAGTAAGTACTCAGCCAAAGTTTTGATGAGGAATTTCAAACTCTTTGATATCATATAGTAACACGTTGATGTTCTCAGCTCACAATCTTGAGAATCCTTTTGCTATGTGCAGCTGCTTCCTATCTTTCTATGTTAACTGATTCAGGATCAAATTTGGAAGGGTTAGTGACAATGTAATACATAGAACAAAAGCTTTCCTGCCTGAGTTATTTTACTTGAGACCTGAATGGGGGGAGGAGGGAGTGTGAGGCTTTGCATGATGTGAGGAAAAAGAAAAATAAAGAAAAAAATAACTAGCTGGGTGCTATGGCTCACATCTGTAATCCCAGCTACTCAGAAGGCTGACATCTGAGGATCATGGTTCAAAGCCAGCCTGGGCAGGAAAGTCCATGAAATTCTTGTCTCCAATAAACCACTAGAAAACAGGAAGTGGCATTGTGGCTCAAGTGGTAGAGTGCTAGCTTTGAGCTGAAGAGTTCGGACAACAAAGAAAAAAACTTACTTTGGAGCGATAGGGTTTTTTTTGCTGTTTGCTTTCAGTAGGTCCTAGGGATGGGGGGGTGGGGGGGAGCGGGGCGCCTGGACACTGTCCCTGAGCTCCTCTTGCTCAAGGCTAGAGCTCTACCATTTTGAGCTACAGCTCCATTTCCAGTTTTCTGGTGATTAATTAGGGATAAGAGTTTCACAGACTTTTCTGCCTAGGCTGGCTTTGAACTGTGGTCCTCAGATCTCAGACTCCTAAGTAGCGAGGATTGGAGGCGTGAGCCACGAGTGCCTAGCTGAGATTAAAAAAAAAAATGTAAAAAGATTATTGCCTTTTGAAAAGGAGCTATCCAGGGATTGGGATTTGAAAACTGCCAATACTATAAAATTTTAAATTCAAATATTAAGCAGCAGGAAAGAGACTCAGCTGAGGGAATGGGTTGGAGTTGTTAAGTTTTTCTTTGTTTCTGTTTTACTTGCTAGACGCTGCATTCCTGGCCCGTGAGAAGGCAAAAGCAGATGCTGAGTATTATGCTGCACACAAATACGCCACCTCAAACAAGGTTACTAATCTTCGTACCACTTTCCTAGAGATAGTTTGTGTTGTGCTTTCCTTTTTCTGGGGCTCTCATTTGATAGAAGTGGTCACAAAAGGTAGTGACCAACCAATCATCCACAATCAGCCAACTGCTTAACAAGACAATTGTATATTCATTGGATAAGGAACTTTGTCTAGTTCCTTATAAAAAGTATAGAAAGTAGGGTCTTCAACAAAATAAATACCAGGAAACAGTTACTCGTAAGGTGGAAGGTAGGGCCAAGGGGAGGGAGTTAGGCAAATGAAGAGAGAAAATGAGGAAAATGCAGTCATAAAATTCAATGCGGGCTGGGAATGTGGCTTAGTGGTAGAGTGCTTGCCTAGCATGCATGAAGCCCTGGATTTAATTCCTCAGTACCACAAACAGAAAAAGACAGAAGTGGCCCTGTGGCTCAAGTGATAGAGTGCTAGCCTTGAGCAAAAATAGCTCAGGGACAGTGAATGCCTAGGCTCTGAGTTCAAGCCCCAGGACTGGCAAAAAATAAATAAAATTCAGTGCATATCCTACAAATTTAAGAACATTGAGGGAAAGGAGTAAGATTGAGGGGAGTGATTAGGGAGAATGATGAAAGGGGTGACATTGTTCAAGATGCATTGTATTCTTTTTTTTTTTTTTGGTTGGTCATGGGACCTGAACTCTGGGCCTGAATGCTATCCCTCAGCTCTTCAGCTCAAGACTCTACCACTTGAGCCACTACACCACTTCCGGTTTTCGAGTGGTTTATTGGAGATAAGAGTCTCATGGACTTCCTACCTGGGCTGGCTTTGAACTGCAGTCCTCAGATCTCAGCCTCCTGAGTAGCTAGTATTATAAGCATGAGCGTCCAGTGTCCGGCATACATTGTATTCTTTAAACTGCTTTGTTGAATAACAGTTCTATTAAATTTTTTTTTTTAATAGGGACTAGCCAGGTACCATACCCTGGCTCACACTTGCACTTTTAGCTATTCAGGAGGTTGAGACCTGGAAAAGTGGTTCAAAGAAACTCAGACAGAAAAGTCCATGAGACTCCATCTCCAGTTAAATAGCAAAATGCTGAGCTGGAGGTGTGGCTCAGATGGTAGAATGCCACCCATTTGCAAGAAAGCTGAGCAAGAGCTTGAAACTCTTGAATTCAGCCTCTGGTACTGTCACCAAAAAAAAAAACCTTAAGTGATAGTATATAAGCCAGGAAGGTAAGGGGAAGTATGGAGCAGGACAAAGGCAGATATGTGAGTGCAGATCAAGTGCCAAAAATCTTGTACTGTAGTCTATAAGAGCTCAGTAAAGTTGAAGATCTCCTGAAAGAGTAACAAGAAAAGTAAAGTTCATTTAGAATTGCTTTCCAGATAACTAACTAAATGGTTTCTTAAAGCCTTTTTAATGTAAGTTGGTACTGCGTAGCTTAAAGTTTGAACTTACCCCTAAAAATGGGTAGAGGCTAAGTTTGTTTGGAGCAGTATCTGTTATGAGCTATATTCTTTCCATGTAGAGGTAAGAAACTTTTTCATGGTTGAAGATAGTCTCAAGGTATTGTGGGATATCTTGTACCCCTGACAACTTGAAATGTCTGTAGTGTTTTAACAGACACACTAAGGCACACACACACAGACACACACACACACCCCTAAATGTTTCCAGTTGAACATTCTTGTTCATTAGATAAAAAAATGGTCAGTCTTGCCGGGCGCTGGTGGCTCACGCCTGTAATCCTAGCTACTCAGGAGGCTGAGATCTGAGGATCGCAGTTCAAAGCCAGCCCGGGCAGGAAAGACCGTGAGACTCCTATCTCCAATAAACCACCAGAAAACCAGAAGTGGCGCTGTAGCTCAAGTGGTAGAGCGCTTGCCTTGAGCTGAAGAGCTGAGGGACAGCGCCCAGGCCCAGAGTTCAAGCCCTACGACCGACAAAATAAAAAAAAAAAATGGTCAGTCTTGAGGAATTCCCTATATGGTAATTTGAGAAAGGAGGTTGGGTGATGTATAGATGAACATATAAGGAATTGGGTAAGTTAACTAAATAGTATAGAGTTAATTACAAGACAGCTAAAATCCTGATAAAATTCTGAGAAGGAAAAGGTATGTCCATAACATATAAGATTATTATCTTGAGGCAGGTAAAAGTTGAGTATAGTGACAGCTAAGGTATTTGATACAATTTAAAGGGTTAAAATTAAGATTTATGGTATAGATGGCATAAAGTTTTAACTTATAAAAGAGCAACACAGCCTGCATTTAGAAGAAATGATAAGATACAGTTTGTTGGCAGAATGTGAGTTGTCAGTACTTTGGAATCCAATATAGATTCAGAAATTAACTTTTTTAAAAAATGGAGGACATAGCTCTATAGAAATAAAGTAGAATTTGATACAGATAAAAACAAGATAGGAAACTTCAGTTTACAAAACTAGCAGTCCAAACTTGTAATGAGAGAAGCTGACCAGACACAAATATCAAGACCTTGTTATTGAGATTAACCTTGTTTTGAAAGAGTCAATAGTTTTCTGACATTTTGAAAAAATTGCTACTTAGTACCAACTTACATTAAAAAGGCTTTAAGAAGGCTGGGAATGTGGCTCAGTGGTACAGTGCTTGCCTTGCATGCATGAGGCCCTGTGTTCGATTCCTCAGCACCACATAAGCAGAAAAAGCCTGAAGTGGCTCTGTGGCTCAAATGGTAAAGTGCTCTCCTTGAGCTGAAGAGCTGAAGGACAGCACCCAGGCCAGAGTTCAGGCCTCACAATCAACAAGAAAAAAAGAAACCATTTAGTTAGGTGCTATGAGCAGACATGATTGCAGTGTTTTAACAGGGTAAGCATTAATTCAAGAGAGTAGAGATCAAGAAGTACATGATACCAGAGGATAGAGAGGTACTGTGGGTGAGTAAAGGGCTTTTGCCTAAAAGATAGATTGGGCTCCACATGATTATTAGGGAAGATTCTGAGGAATTTTGAAAGGATATATTTTGAGGATGGATGAAAAAAAATGAGTTTCAGTCAAACCCAGAGAGATTTTGCCTGGTTGTATGTTGGCAGCATGATTTAAACAAAGCAAAATCCTGACAGAGAAGGAGATCTGAGAGTAGACAAAATGTGTATCACAGTTGAACAGCCAGCTTTTGAGTAAAGGCAAGATGCCAAGTTAGGTGATGAGATTTTTTTCACTTCTAGAATTCGATTAAGAAAAGCAGAGTTATAGCTCATAGTAATACCGTAAACTTAAGCCCTCTTTGGAAACTCAACACTCCTATCCATGTACCTGTGTACCTCTCAAAAGACTCAACAGAAATTCCAAATCAGTTCCAGGTTGAGTTCAGCTCCTTGAAATGAAAAGTATAGGTAAAAGTTCTTATATGCCCTAAGTTACTTTTAGAAAATCATTATCACTAGTTAGCATTATTTGTTCCCCACCACCCCCTTCTATAAAAGATGAATTTTAAGTAAACAACATTTCCAACAGTAAGATAGGAACTTCTTTTTTCTTCTGATACTGAGGATTGAGCTCAGGGCCTTATACAAGGGGTCTTTAACATTGGACCAATATCATGGCCCTTCAGTTTTTATTTTGATTTTGAAATAGGGTGTCACTAATAACAACCTGGCTTGCTTTCAACAATGGCTTTCCTGCCTGCCTCTGCCTCCCCAGTAGCTGATAATAGAAGAAAGTGTAAGTCAAAAACTTAGCCCTACTCCAGAGTAAGTGAAAGAGCATCATTGATGGGTAAACATTCAGAATTGAGTCATGATATTCAAGAGAACAATAGGAGAAATGGTTATAGAGAAAAGGAGATGGCTGTGGCACAAGTGTCCTGATTCCTTTGCTCTTGTTTGCTTCCACACAGCACAAATTGACCCCTGAGTATCTGGAGCTCAAAAAGTACCAGGCCATTGCTTCTAACAGTAAGATCTACTTTGGCAGCAACATCCCTAACATGTTCGTGGACTCCTCTTGTGCGTTGAAATATTCAGGTGTTAGGACTGGAGGAGAAAGCTCCCTCCCCCATGAGGAGGCTTCGGAACCCTCTGGAGAGAGTGCAATCCAAAACAAGGAGAGCACAGGTTGATGCAAGAGGTGGAAATATTCCTTCATAATGAAATGTGGCTTGGGGCTAACTGGGAATAGTGGTTTTATGGTCTCCTCAGATTTACAGAGAATTTGTGCTGTCTGTCCTGGCTCTCTTGTGATAGTCCTAGTTTGTCAGCTGATTGCAGGATAGAACAGGCTGTCTGACAGCCACCATTTTATCAAGTATCCTGTATGTGTATGTATTCCTTTCTAAACTGGTACTCATGAGTGAGAGAATGTCTAATGCTAAGATACTGCCTGCACTGGAATGTTAAACACTAAATATATAACAAGCTGTGTTTTTCTAAGCTGAGGTCTATTGAATAATGTTTAATAATGTTTACATTGGTTTCCGGGGATGTGTGTGCTCAAGCCATTCAAGAGATAGGAGAAGACTATCAAGACATGGTAAGTTAAAAAAGACTGATTACATCTGGGACCCAGACTCTCTTTGGGGTCCAGTCCTAGTGTTCCTCAATGTGATTAACATCCAGACTGCTGAGGTTCCCCAGAAAATGATCTTCCACTTGAGCAGTCATTTACTTGTTACAATTTGAACCTTTCTGCTTTCCTACAGACAGGTTGGTGGCCTACAGGGACATGCGCTTTGCCACCCAACTAGAAGTTCCTAATCATTAGTTTATTGAATTGATAGACGGAGATAAAGAGAGCTTGGTTTAAAGTTTTGAAGGAGATGAAACTTTGAACCAAAGCTCTAGGCCCTGCATTTCCCCCCTCTCCCCGCAGTCCTTTGGGTGATGACTGCCGGCATCACTGCCTCTGCTCATGTGTGACTAAGGTGCCTGGTTTTTTTAGCCACAGACAATTCTTTATATGTCACCTCTCAGCTCTGGCTGGCCAAGAATGTGAGAGGGCTTCTACCGCACATAGGAGTACATATAATTCCTAGTTAACTGCACAGTATTATGCCATTAATTGCAGGAAGTTTTCATTTTTAAAACTGGATTTGGGGTATATTCATTTGCCCTAGCACTTCTGTCCAAGGCCAACTCCTAGGGCTGCCATGGTTACTAGCACACTGATTCTCCTTAACATTGTTCAGCGTGTGGAACACTTTTAGAAAGCATCTTTGGTAATCTTTTTCTCCTTCCTCCTGACCCTGGGATGCTGAAATCAAAGATGATTTGGTTTCACCTTATCTTTGAGATCTAAAGTCCACTGACTTCCTGGGCAGCCAGAGAATTTACTTTTTGTGAGAAGATAACAGAGTTAACCTGTGGCTATGCTAGATCTACTTCATCTGGATCTGTTTTTGGTTTTTGCTTTTTGCTTTTTCCTTTAGATTAACTTTCGTGAACATTATGCTGCAGTTAGGCCTGAGTTTGTATAGCTTGTTGATCTGTTGTGTATACTGTTTTGAGGCCAGACAGAGGAGAAGTCATGGGACCATTTCCAGAAATCTCTCAGCTGTCAGTCTCACCACAGTTGATGAGTTGTGCCAAACACTTTATTTGGGAAGGGAGAACCCGGATTTGAATGGGTCTTTTTTTCCTGGGCCTTATACTACAAAGGCATTTGTAATATGAAGAAAATTGGGTTTGGGTTATTTAATTACATAAATTCTCTTCATGAATGAATTTTGTGTTCTTTGGCCCTCTTTTAAAAAACTTTTGAATCATAAAAATAACCTCTTGTCATTATTGTTGCTGCAGATAAATAATGATTATTGTGGGAAATCTGGATCATTGAGCATTGTATTTTCATTCCTAGAGAGATTTCCTGTTCCTGTAAGTGAAATGCTGTTGGCCCAAAGTGATGGTGTGGGTTTTCTTACCAGCCACAAGCCCTGGTGGCAGGGTTGAGGAACAGGGAAGTGCATTGTGAAGTATAAAAAAAAAGCACTTCCACTTAAACTCCCTGTGGAGTGAGCTTCCCTCTGCCCACTCAGTGAGTTGTGTAGCCATCCTTCAGGGATGTTCCTTTTGGTAAATATACACTGTAATCGAGGTTTAAATTTATATGTGAAATGCTACCTTTTTTAAAATAAGAAATGAAATAAAATTATTTTACTATCAGTGGTTGTATGTGTTTTGTGTTTCCCATATATCTTTATTCCCATGTATTTACATTTTCTCCTGTCTTGCTTACTTCAACTAGTGTACTTGCTGCTTGGCCCTAACTGTAGAGGCTTATATACATTTTCCAAAATACAGCCTACTTGATGTAAGAACTTTTAAAAATGAAAAGAAAAAAAAAGAAAGCATCCCCACTCCTTCTTGACTTCTAGAATTTAACAGAAGTTATTCTGACTATGGGAGAGGGCCAGGCATAAAGTGGGAAGAGGAAAGACATGCCCTCTGGAGCCTTCTTTGAGAGCTTACATAATTTTATGTTCAGAAAGGGAGAAGACCATTATATTCGCCATAAAAAAAACAGTTTGCATAATTGTACCTGGCAGTGATATGACATTATTAACTTCACTAATTCAAGTGTTATCAGTTCCTCAAGAAACCTTCCCTTGTAGGGATAACTTAGTACTGTTGAGCAGCAGGGAATAGTAATTGGGAGTTTGGGGAAAAGCATCCCTTTATTTTGGGCTCTCTGAGATTCACCTTCATAGTTTCTTTCCACTTTCACTGCTGTGAACTAGGGAATCTAAAAATTAAGACGAAGTGATATCTGACCCTTCCTGCAGAGAAATGTTAGGATTTGAATATGAAGTGTCCCCAAAGACTCATGTGTTAGGGTCTTGTACTCCATCTGGTGGTGCTATTATGGGAAGTTTCTAGAAACTTTAGGAACTGGCACCTAGGTGGAGAAAATAGGTCCCTGAAGGTGGGCCCTTCCTGTCCTTTGTTTCCTATACAGTAAGAAGTGAACCACTCCCACCTACTTAGCATTGCATTTAATTTACCAAAGAACATCATTTCAAGTAATCAGTGGAATATCCTAAGACAAGAACACAGTTAATTTATTTAATTATCAGCTGTTGACATCCAATATTATGTATAGGAAAACAAAAATTGACATATAAATAGAATACATTGTCTATACAGTAAAGAATACAGAATATAAAGTGAACTAGGACAGATTTACAAAAGTGATAACATCTTAGTATTTCTTATGAAAACATGATTTCAGCAAAAAAAAAAAAACAACAACAACTTGGTTGCTTGGCTGCTTTTTAAATTATATAAGCTGAAGATACAGCTGTTCACGTATCCATGACAAATTCTTTCTTAATGCATATAAAGTGATGAACGCTTTCATCATAGTTTTATTTTTGTTTTTCCAAGTTTCCTAAGCTTTATTGCCAAAAGATAGTTCATTTTTGGAAGCTTTTATTTGCTTCAGAAACACATTTAAAATTAGTTTTTAAAAAGTTTCATGCAGGCATTGATGGCTCATGCCTGTATCCTAGCTACTCAGGAAGCTGAGGTCTGAGGATCTTGGTTTAAAGCCAGCCTTGAGCCAAGCATCAGTGGTTCACACGTGTAATCCTAGCTGAGGCTAGAAGGCTGAGATCTCAGAATCACGGTTCAAAGCTATCCCAGACAGGAAAGTCCATAAGACTCACTCCAATTAACCACCAGAAAATGGGAAGTGTGCTAAGGCTCAAGTGATAGAACATGCATCTTGAGCCAGAGAGCTCAGGGATAGCGCCTAGGCCCAGAGTTCAAGCCCCACGACCAACCAAAAAGAAAGAGTGAACCCTGAGGCTCCAATTAACCACCAAAAAGCAGCTAGAAGTGAAGGTGTGTGGACCAAGGGTAGAATACCAACCTTGAATGAAAAAGCTAAGGAATAGTACCCAGGCCCTGAGTTCAAGCCCCACACAAAGTGTTTCATGGTACCATGAAATACAGGTTTTACAGTACTCTGGTATATGTAAAAGTTTGTTTTGTTTTTATGAAATAATGGTTGCTGATTTCTGAGTCCATTCTTTTGCGTGTTGTATTTTGTCTGATTTACAGATCTTTGTGATATCTAGTACTAGGGAGTCATCTGGATTAGGATCACTAAGTAGAGAATATATAAACAATAACACTTGGGTCAAGGTAAGTGATCATTCACTCAGGGAGCCATGATAATACTTCCACTATTGTTTATATTTGGATGGTAAAATTTTGTGAAAGTAGTCTTTGGTGCTGTTAGAAAGATTGCACTACCATAGGTGCTATCAGGAGGCCCAGTATAGTAGTTGCTTGCCAATGGAACAAGGCATCTCCCACAGATCAACTGAACAGTGAGCAGGTAAATTCTGTTGTATATCACTGAGTTCTTTCTGAATCTGATTCAGCACCTTTGGTCAGGGAGGGCAGTGGGGGACAGGGAACAGGAAGCTGCAGGGCTGGAGTGGTTGTGCAGTTTGTCTCAGCTTCTGTGGGTATGGGGTCAGGCAGAGACCTTCTGGCACTGCCACTTTGGAAGACTGAGCAGGGAGTGTATAAGAAATCTACCTTCTTTCTGTTCAGTTTTCCTGTGAACCTAAAATCACGCTAGAAAAAGTCCTCTAAGAAAGCAGTAACATCAGATTCTATCTCAACATTTTTTTTAAGGTAGAGCAGAGTTTCAAGGTAGTTAATAAAGAGTTGAAATCATATGCTTATGCACACAGCGACATGTTCATAATAGCCAAAAGGTGGAAATACCACAAATGTTCATAACAGATAAATAGGTAGCAAAATGTGGTATAGACAAACATGGAATTTTTTTTGGTCTTAAAAGGAAAATCTGATATATGCTCCTACATGGATGAACTTTAACATAAGCCAATTGTGAAAAGGACAAACACTAGGATTCCACTTATACAATGTTCTCAAATAGATTCATAGAGATAAAATGGAATTGTGAGCCAGGCACTCACACCTATCTATAATCCTAGCTACTCAGAATGCTGAGATCTGAGGATCACAGCCAGCCTGGGCAGAGAAGTCCATGATGCATCTCTAATATACCAAAAACTAGAAATATGCTGTGGCTCAAAGTGGTAGAGTGCTAACCTTGAACCACAGTGCCCCGGGACAGCACCCAGTACAAATAGAATGGTGGTCACCTGGAGGGAAGAGAGACCACAGAGTTTGGGGTGAGGAAGTTGTGATGATCACACAGCCATGGGAATGTACATGTGCTACAGAGCCATACACTCCACAGTCGTTAAATAGTATGTTTCACGTATAGGTATTTCACCCCACACAGAATTAGAACTGAGGTACTTGAGTTACATGCAATACACTCTTTGGACCTAACCAGATGTTCATGTGACAACATAGTGTTCCTTGCCTTTTACCCTCATCCTTTCCAGCTTCCTTTTTAAGTCCCTCCCTCTGAATCTTCTATGCATCGGAGTTTTTAATTAGCTAAGATCAAGACCTTGTTGAACTATTCTTTTCTGGGTTTATATGACCTCAGTGTCTCTACATCCACAACAATCTATAATTTTTCTATTAAATTTTAAGTCAACAAATAAAATGCATATTTATGCTACACATACGATTTCAATTAACTTCTTAAAATACAAACCTATTTTAAAGTACTGAAAATTAAAAGAGATTTTTTTTTACACCACACAGAGCAGTGCTTCCTGTAAAAAGCCCTGTGTTAAGTGGGGCTGTGGCTCAAGCAGTAGAGCACTCGCCTTGAGCTGAAGAGCACAGGGACAGCGCCCAGGCCCAGAGTTCAAGCCCCACAACCAAAAACAAAAAAGCCCTGTGTTAAAACCTCCCATACTCCTGGATTGGGAGGATTGTCACCATAAAAATGGCAACCCAAGCCGGGCGCTGGTGGCTCATGCCTGTAATCCTAGCTACTCAGGAGGCTGAGATCTGAGGATCGCGGTTCAAAGCCAGCCCGGGCAGGAGAGACCGTGAGACTCCTATCTCCAATAAACCACCAGAAAACCGGAAGTGGGCGCTGTAGCTCAAGTGGTAGAGCACTCGCCTTGAGCTGAAGAGCTGAGGGACAGCGCCCAGGCCGAGTTCAAGCCCCACGACCGACAAAAAAAAAAAAATGGCAACCCTGCCCAAAGCTATCTACAAATTCAATGAAGTACCCATCAATATCCCAACATCATTCTTTAATGAATAGAAGAAGCAATCCAAAAATTCATGTGGAATAATAGAAGACTTCAAATAGTAAAAGCAGGAAAGACTGCTGGAAGAATATTAATACCAAACCTCAAACTATTTAAAGCTGTAGTTATAAAAACAGCTTGGTACTGGTAAATGAACAGGCCTAAGGACCAATGGAAGAGAATTGAAGACTCAGAAATGATCCCACAACCTATGGCCATCTAATCTTTGCTAAGGGAGCCAGAAATTACCTGATGAAAGAAAGCCTCTTCAACAAATGGTGCTGACAGAATTGGCTATACACGTGTAGAAAACTGAAGTTAGATCCTTATATATCACCCTGCACCAGCATCAAACCAACTCCAAATGGATCAAAGACAAGGTAAGAGCAGATACCCTGAAAATATTACAGGAAGGGATAGCGGATACACTAGGGCTTCTTGCCACAGGTTGAAACTTCCTAAATAAAGATGCAGAAACAACAAATCAAAGAAAGGCTGGATAAATGGGATCTCATTAAACTGCAGAGCTTCTGCATGACAAAGGACATAAGCTAGCAAGATAAATAGCCACAGATTGGAGATCTTCACTAGTTATACAGCAGAGAAGGGCCTCATCAAAAATATGCCTATAGCTCAAAAAGAATCCAAACAAATCCTCAACCACCCCATTAATAAGTGGGGGCAAAGAACTAAAAGGAGACTTCTCTGGAGAGGAACTAAGCCAATCACATGAAGAAATGTTCAACATTTTGGCCATAAAAGAAATGCAAATCAAAACTACACTGTGATTCCACTTCACCCAAGTTATAATGGCCATTATCAAGAAAACAACATGCTGGTGGGGATATGGCCAAAAAGGAATGCTCCTACACTGTTGGTGGGAATGTAAACTGGTTTAACCACTTTGGAAAGCAGTATGGAGGTTCCTCAAAAGGCTAAACAGAGCTTCCCTATGACCCAACAATCCTATTCCTGATCATTTACCCAAATGACCACAATTGA